CCATCAATCAGCTTCTTGTTCGCAAAAGCCAACTGTCACTTCACCACAATCGTCCCCTGAGTGAGAGTCCACAGCACCAACTGTCGGGCTTCACTCACCGATCTTCGTCTCTCGCAGCAACTTCTCGCCTGCGTCATCACTCGCCTCCGGTGTCAGCGCAGCCACGTCGCCATGTCTTCCGGTGTGTCCATACTCATGCGTTGTTGGCCTCTTCTTTGTTGCTAACTCATGTTCACTGCAGATGGCAGCGCTTTCGTTGACCTCACGTCTTCGCAATGCTCTTCTCCACGCTCTGCCGCGCGTGGCGGCCCTGCCACAGTGTCGACTGTCGCGCTGGCCGACCCTTCGCTAGACCTTGCCGGTGTGCGGGCTTCGCTGAGTGCGCTGCAACTGGCCATCGACCAGACCGAGGCACTGCGCCGCGAGTTTTTGGCTACGCGACGTCGAGCGGAGGATCTGGATCGTCAGCTCGCGGACGCGGCCAATGCCGCGTCGCCCTTCGTGCTCTTTTACCAGCACATGTACGAAGTGGTCCATCACCAGCTGGAATCTACTCGGACAGAGCTCGCCGAGTGCCTGAATGCACTGCAGGAGTGTCTCGATAACTCCCGCTAGCTCGAAGCTTACTGCCTTCGGTATCACAAGCAGTGTCGGAGTTCCAAGATCGGATCTCTACTTTGGAGGCACAGCTGGCTGCTGCTTCTTCGTTTGGCGTGATTATCCCGCCTGCCACAGCTCGTCGCATAGCGGATCTGGAGTCCCAGCTCGCGCGGTCCCAATCTGACTTACAAGTCGCGCGTGATCGCCAGCCTTCTCTCGCTTCTGAGCTTCGTGCATCAGCTACGTCGCACAAGGCTGCTCAAGCGGAAGTAGATCGCCTCGAGGCCACGATCGAGCGTAAGCCTCGTCGCTTCCGCACCTTGCGTGACAACTATGAGCGTCGCTTGAAGGTTGCCGACAACACGATTGCCCCACATTTCGCCTAGCTTGATCGTTTGCAGGATCGGGTATCGACACTGGATCGGGATCTCCTGCAGGCTTCCCAGCGTGTCCGCGCGGCAATCTCTCAACGTGATCAAGCCAGGGCAGAGCGTATCGCCACCCGTGAGTACCATTCGTATCTCGTGTCACAGAGGATCGTGTCTCAGCAGCTCGAGATACCATCTCCCGGCTGGAAAAGCGGATTAACCAAGTCGCGAAATCTCAGAAGTCGCGTGGAGATCTCGAGCTCGCGCTCGCAGCGCTTCAGCAGGAGAGAGACGGTCTGGTAGTTCAAAGAGATGAATTGCTCGGCAGCTTGGCGGGCGTTTCATGGAGGTCACCAATCTACGGGCCGAGCGGGACCAGGCGCAAGAGAGATTGTGCAGCTTCCGATGTGGGCGCGCATTCCGACGGTGGCGAGAGCTCTTCCGGCAAATCTAGTTCTACTCGCGTCTTCGACTCGGACGCCGTGGGAAGCGACAGTGGTTCTCCGTAGTTGAGTCGCGCTAAGGACCAGTTTGGGATGCCGCCCGGCCCCCTATCGGACACTGAGCTGGCGGATCTATCGCCTACCACGGTTCCCCGATCGGAGTGGACCCCCGGTTATCGTGCCCGTCGTAGGTTCCGCAGTCATGATATCGTCCCCTGGTCTGCGCAGGATATTCGTCAGACAAGAATCGTGGAAATTGACGCGGATCTGTTCTTTCACCACTACGCCAAGCTGATGGAGTGGCTAATCCCTCTCCACCACTCCGTGCCTCCGCTTGGAGAGTGGCGAGACGATCTGGTAGACGAGAGCAACGTGCGCGACTTGATGGAGTCTGCCCCGTGGGAGATCCTTGCTGCCAAGATTGATCCTCTCACGTTCAGAGGTCGGGGTTGGTTTCGACGCATGATGCAACTCTACGCTTTCTACGAGGATGAGCATCTTCAGGCTTATTGGGACTTTACTCATGCCTTTCCGGTGAGCATCGCCAAGCGTCGCGCCAGTCGGTACTTGGATGCGTTCTATACTGATCGCAAGCAGCGTCGACCCAGGGCCGGCGCCCGGGGAAATCGTTCCTTCAAGAGGTGCTGATCGGCTTGCTCCGGGGTTACTGCGACCTCGACTTGTTGCTGGATCCCTTCTTTCTGCATTTCCCTCGACCTGGCGAAGTAGGTGCTTGGTACCCTGGGATCGAGGACGGAGCCGATCCCGCAGATCTACTGGAGGCGTTGGCCATTTCGGATGGCAACCACTATCGCGACGTACCAGAGGACCATCCAGCGCTTGGGATCGCTCGTTTGCCTGGCAAGTTCGTGTCCTCCTCTCCTGATCGTGTCCTGCCGTTATGTGTTGGCTAGCAACTTGTAGGTTTCAGCGCTCGTCAAGAAGGCCCCCTCCGATCTAACCCGACTTAATCCATGCGTATCTTCTTCCATTCTTTTGGAATTGTTTGAGGGTGTATTGCCTAGATTTTCCGGCCTATGCAGGCCCACGGCACTCCATATGCACCACCTCCTTCTTGAAATCTGCAGCCTTCCAGCAGATCCTTCTTCCTCTCACTTCTCCACGGTGGCCAACCCACCGCAGATGTTCTA